TCTCTCTCTCTCTCTCTCTCTCTCTCTCTCTCTCTCTCTCTCTCTCTCTCTCTCTCTCTCTCTCTCTCTCTCTCTCTCTCTCTCTCTCTCTCTCTGTGTGTGTGTGTGTGTGTGTGTGTGTGTGTGTGTGTGTGTGTGTGTGTGTGTGTGTGTGTGTGTGTCGGGCTACGTACGACGTCGCTCCTTCTCCACGCTGCTCTCAGGCTCTCTCTCTCTCTCTCTCGCTCGCTCGCGCGCGGGCGGTGCGTCTCTCCTGCGACAAGCAGCAGCAGCGAGGCGAAGGAGCGCGCAGACGGCAGCTCGCGGCCGAGGAAGAGGTAGTCGAGGAGCGAGACGACGATGGGGCAGCAGGCGCGGAAGACGATGAGCGTCTCGACGTTGCTGTTCTGCAGCGCCTTCATGTTGCAGTAGATGGTGCACACAAACATGCCCGTGTACGCGAGGTACGGCCGCACCTTCTCCCTCTCAAACCCATCGACGGCGGCGAGGCCGCTGGCGCGGAGGAAGAGGCAGAAGAGGGTGCAGACGGCGAACTGTATCGTCGCGATGAAGGACGGAGCCGGAATCGCGTGGATGCACAGCTTGTTGATGATGAGCAGCGAGCCGGAAGCGGCGGAGAAGCTGAGCGCCGCAAAAACCGCCTCGCGGCTCTCGAGGGCGCAGCCGAGCATCCAGAAGCGAGAGGCGGCAGGTTGGGCTCGGTGGCGGCAGTGGGGCGAGGAGGGAGCGAGCGGGCGCTGGTGTCGACGGTGGCGGTAGGAAAGATTGTGGGAAAATACGAGGCGGACTCGGCACTCGCTCGGCGCGTAGAACAGGTCGGCGCAGAGGATTTCTTTGGCACGTGGACGGATCGCGACCGCCATCTCGACCGCGTCGTCCTTCGGCGGCAGCTCCGGCGCATTCTCGGACAATCTCGGGTAACCTGACGGAACGCGTATTCCGCGACGGATACTCGAGTGGCCACGTATCAGAAGGTTCTCGAGGTTCTCGAGGTGGATATCCTTTGGCCGCGTTGGGTAGCGACGCCGCCGCCGCCGTAGCGGCGGCGAGCGCTCGCCTTTTGCGCGACGCGCAGTGTGGACGCGCGCCGCCCAGCGCCGGACGTGCCGGAGCCGGTCCGGCGCGCGCGCGGGCGGCCAGCGCCTGTAAACAGACAGCTGCCGCCCGCACGTTCAAATGGTGTTGGAGATACTGTGCCTTAAGGTATTTTTCTTTTTTGCGTTCCATACAACTGTATGGGGATCCTCGACCGACATCGTTGATGGCTGAGGTCCGCCTCATCCTAACTCCCCTCTCATCGCGCAAGCTCCGCTGCGACCTCGAGCTCATCGATGAGGGAGGACAGCGCCAGCCGCCGACGCAAGGCGTCCTGTCTTCGTTCGAGGCCGCCCGCCACGCCTGCTCCGCTGCGACTCCTGACGGCGCTTTGGTGGTGGACGGCGTCGTCGCACGGCGGCGCCACATGGGCGGCCACTCCTTTGTGGACCTCGTGTCGGGCGGCGCTGCCGAGGGGCCGTCGCTGCAGGTCGTCGTCAACGCGGCCGATCTCGACGGCAGCAGCCTGCGCGGGCTGTCGCTCTCGCTGCTGCTCCGCCGGCACTCGCGCCTCCGGGTGGCTGGCACGCCCGGCCGCACGCGCAGCGGCGAGCCGTCGCTGTTTGCCCGCTCGCTCCGCCTGCTCCGCCTGCCCGCCGACCCGGCCTGCGTGCTCAAGGCGGCGAGGCTGGTTGCGACATGCGCCGACCTGCCGGCCGAGGCGGCTGCGGAGGCGCTCGGCTGCGTCGAGGAGGAGCTGTACGAGATTGTGCACGAGCTCGAGGCTGCGGACGGCGGCGCCGAAGCTGCTGCTCGGCCCTCTCCTCCGAACTCTCCCTGATTTGAGTCCGAAAGTCGTTGATTGGTTAGGCGCCGAGCTGCTCGGCCCTTCAGAGGCTCCGGCGGCGGCGCAGCGGCTGGCGCTCTGAGCGTGGGTCTGCGGCCCTTTGGCTAGCGACGTCCTTACCATTCGAATAATGGAACGGCTGCAGGCGCGCGCTCTG